AGGAGCGAGACCTCTGCTGCGATTCGGAGCCGGGAGAGGGAGATCGGCGGAAGAGAAGGCCGAGCGGTCCTCTCTGTCGCGTAGAGAGGTGCGAAACAGAGAGTTCGCGATAGAGGAAAAGGATCGGGAGGGGAAGAGCAAGATTCGCGAATGGGGAAGATGGAGGAGGAGCCCCTTGCGGTTACTTTTTGTCTCCCAAAAATAGCAGTCCGAAACGAGGCCATTATTATTATTTTTTTTTTTTTGGAAGAGAGAGAAGAAAGGAGAGAAGAAAGGAGAGAAGAGAGTGAAATGAAAAATGAAAATTTCATTTCCCTCTTTTAGAGAGTTACGGTTATATATATATATAATATTATTATAATATAATAATTATTATTATTATTCAATCAACCTCTCTCCATGCATTTTTGCTGAACACGTCATCGCGATAAAATGAAAGTGTCCCTTAGGTAAAATTGATGTTCTGGACGCACCGGTGTAGTCCGTTTGGTCGTCCGGAGTCGTTCGGACCACTTTTTCGACTATCGTGTCAAAAAAATGATAATATGCATATTTTAAGCCCGTACGCGAAATCGTGGTGCAACAAGTGCCTTTTCCAAGTGAAATCGACGTTCCAAACTCACTCGTGTTGTCCATTTCGTCGTTTGGGGCCATATGAATAAGCTTGCAGGTGCTCAGGTCAATTTGAGCCAAATTTGTGCATGGCGCGATAACTAATTTTCGTCGATCACAGGTGGACACCCTACACCTACGATATCCAAAAATTGATGCCAACACTTTTTGTTTGTTTGCTTGATTTCTACTTTTAGACTTAAGTGTGGTTGTGTTTTCTCTATGAATTCGAGTAGTTTTCTTTTATCTTTTTCATTAAAATGATAAATGATTAAGTATTTAAAGGAAGTTGTGTGAAGTATTTGTCTTTAATGTTGGAAGAAGTTGTGATGATTTTAAACCTTATACTTCATTTACTTCTTGATTTGGCCAATTAAGATGTTAATATCTGTTGTGAGAACATGTAAGATCTGAGATGGTATTGTCTCAATCAACAAATAATAAGAATCACATTTGATTTCATGGATGAGAATGTTGCTCATGGAGTTGAGTGCAAATAAATCGAGAAATAAAATTTGAAGGGTGTAAAATTAGAGAACTTTAGAGTGATAGGCTAAAGCCCACAATTTGATTTATAGTTTTTTGTTTTGATACGAGATGTTAGCCCCCAAGTGGAGGGAGAAGAGGGAACTCTAGAGTGAGACCTAATATCTTCCCCACCTAACCCGTCTTCAAGACTATTCAAACTATAGATTAGCCAGTTCTTTATAGCAACCCTAGTAAGGGTAAAAAATTTTATTGCTTCTATTTGACACAACACAATTAGAATACTTCCACAACATAATTTCTATACTTGTTAGTGATTCATGATAAGGAAAAAGATATTTTATTATATTGTCTTCATCTTGCAAGTATGTAGTTAAGTTAGTTAGTTGTTTACTTTATTTTCAACTACCAAAAATTACAAAAAGAGGTGAACTTTCTTTCCAATTTTAATATCTAGAGTTTAAGTAAGAATATTTTGCTAAGTATAATTTTGTTATCTAATTTCTCCAGTTTTGTAAGTTGCATATTGTAGTTTTCCTTGTGGGTTTGATATTCGGGTCTTAATTAAAAAGTCCTATATTACTTGATAATGATACGTATACTTGCGTAGTATCTCATACTTAAATATTATAATTGTAATCTTATTTGCTTCAAAGTTAAGAATTCACCTAGCTTATGCTCGGGATCAAGTTTTTGGCATCGTTGCTTTTTTTCACAGTTACAAAGTAAGAATTATTATTAAGGAAATTAAGCATATAATTGCATACATCGCATTTGACATCTATCTAGAACATCGTGATCAGCTAACATGGACGCCATGCTGAAGGTGAGTTAGATTCCTTCCGGAAGCGGATGAGGGAGCGTGGCAAGGAAGCAGCAGCATTGGACTATAATGAAGCGACAGAGGATGATGAGGATGACGATGAGGAGAAAGAGGAGGATGATTAGGGGTGCCTTTTTATGATTATGTTAAACATTTGTACATATATTTCTCTGTGAACAGAGATGTATATATTTTAGGATGAATGTAATTGATTTGTTTCGTTATTTAACTATATAATAAAATGTTCGACAGATATTCTAGTTCTATAATTGCTTTGAATGGTATATTAAATATTGTGATAACATGTCTAGTGATGTAAAAATGAAAGGGAGAATCTTTTTTTTTTATGTTGTAAGTTTCTAACGGCTTACCATCGGTTTTTCTAAAATTTCTGACATATCCATAGCCAAAACTGATAGCTAACCAATTGACTTATTTATTTAAGCTTAATCAACACCAAACCAAAAGCTTAAGTGCATCATAAGAAACCGACGGGTAAGACACTTTTCTGACAGTTTAACCATTAGTTCCAATAGCTGGCGGCTTACAGACAAAAAAATCAGCAAAATGCTTTGCCACATGAAACCCACTAGTGCGACACTTTTTTATTGTTTCCCCGTCGGTTTTAATAACTGATGCATTGCTGACACAAATATGACAAAAAAATTGTGTTAAACAAAACCGATACACTTTTTCAACAGCTAAACTGTCGATTTTTTTTATAACAGAACCCCTAGCAACTTTTAATCAACAGAATGCCTGTATCAATAAATCTAGAGTGCATCATTTTCCCGACGTATAGGTTGTCACTATTATCAACGATTCCTCCATATGTTATATGAACCGAAGAATACTAATGATATTAATTTTCTCTAAAAATGTGACTGCATTAAATCGTTGGTTATGCATCGATAATTTTACACTGTTTGAATAGTAGCGGTTTTGGAATTACAGATAAGCATTTTACCTACAAGACTAGAACAGATAATAAACCATAAGAAATATCGAAGGTGATATTTTTTCTCATTATAAACCGTGAAAAGTGGCCGTCGGAAAAGACAATTTCTTTTGTAGTGTACCGCTATCTAAGAGAAGAGTCAACCGAGGGAATGCGTATTGCACCAAAAGAAATAGTTGATGAATTTGTAGCGGATTCGCAACTTAAATCTTGACTATTGATTTCGTGATCTATCTATCGGTTTATTAAGTTCGCTATGAAGTTGAAGAACAACAAATGATTTTTTTACAAAAAGTTTTTCATTTGTGAAAGTAAATTGTTTTGTAATAGTTATTTTTTTTTTCTTTATTTTTTTTATTATTATTTGGGACATTTGTGCATGTATGATTTATTTTTATCAATTGGAAAAGAAAGAGATATATTTGTTCTTTTTATGCTGAAATGCTTGAATTTCATTTATTGAATATATATATATATATATATATATAATCAAACGTTCAAATCCTTTATATGCGTGTGGTTTTTTTATATATATATATAACTAAATATATAAATGAATATCATATCTGAAATCAGTTTTATATTTTGAACAAGTACAACATTGTAATTTCAATATTTATCAATTTTTTTTTATGACAGCATATATAATGGCAACAATTACTAGTTTTAATTTTACGCTTTTTAAATTTTGATGTCCAAATTTTATTATTGTTGGATCCTGATTTTTCTCAGTACGAGTTAAGGGTGTGTAATAGAGCTAGTAATAATTGCTATATAAGGCTCAAATACATGTGTATGTGTAATCGCTTTCACATAACTCTAGCCCTTTCTATGACCTCTCATAAATAGGTGAGAATTACAATTTTAGCATTATATATATATATGTAGCCCAAGTTCTCGGACTAGTAGTCTACCATCTATTTAGGAGAAAGAGTTCTCCTCATATAGGAGTTTCAGGATGGTTGCTTCATATATTATAAACCTCCTAATTTTATGAGAGTGTCCATTATTTCTTGTGCCGTAATTAAATAAAAATACAGATTGAGGAAATAAATCTAAAGCTAACGGAGGATAAACAGATCGATTAATTGCAGCTATTTTTTCATTAATATTTCTTATGATCGCAATCATACTCACATGATCATTTAATTTAAACTTAATGATCATACATAACTTTCAAATTTTCGTCGTATTTAGATGGCTTGAGTGAAACTACTGGCAAAATATATTCGAATGAAACTCAAAGTTCATGCTAAATACATAAAAATCTTTAGCAAAATCTTCTTGAAATTTTGAATAATCCAAATTCTAATAAAATTCTATGACAAGAAATCCATTAAATTTAATTAGCATTAAAATTGAAAATTAAAATATCCTCGAAAATTTATTTTTTTATAATTTTATGATAAAAAAATAAACAAAAATAAAACGCAAATAAAACGCTCAACCTGCAAACAAACAAAAAAAAACGATAAATCCAAACTTATATTCGATTTTAGTTATAAATTTTTCTCATTAATTAATCACAAATATTTATTGAATTTTAGTGAGTACTTCTTAAACATTATTATTGGACGTTGAATTGCATTGTTCTCTGTGAGGCTTAAATTAACAAATAATTTGCACTCACTAGTCCCAACAGCAAACGGTAGCCAAATCCAATGCTATTGAGCGGCTAATATGATTTTGTTGGTATTCCTATGTCAGATCTTTAATCTTTGATTTTTTTATATTTCCTAAGATTAGCTTATTCAGGACTATAAATTTCATTCTTAAGTGTGACCAGAATAAAGTACATTTACTGCTTTTCCTCCACATCATTACGTGTTCTCTTATTTATTTTCTTGTTAGTACTCAAAGATTTATTACACGACTTTATTAATATTTGTGATGCTCTCTAATCTTCTAGATATTCAAATTTGTTCATCGGAGAAATTTGCTAGAAGCTAAAATTGAATAATTTTTTTTTCATGAATTTCTTAGCCTCTCGGCATTTTCTATACGAAAATAAATAAAAATGAAGAGCAGATCAATATGTTGATCATTTTCCCACCCACAATATTTAAAATATATAATATTTACAAAACAAAACGCCATACATTATTATAAAATATTAATAAGCTGTTCTCTTGTTCTCTTGTTCTCTCTCTCTCTCTCCCTCTAAAAAACCATGGATTGATAATGTTTGTAATTCAAATAATAATAATAATAATAATGTACAAACGCAAACTAAAAATTAACATCTAAATTGATAGCACAAGTTAATTTGCATATCGTTAGAAACATCTGTAACTCCATATAAAAATCTGCAGGCAGGTTTAAGATCGTTATCTCCGAGCACGAGAACCCCTCGGTGATCCCCGCAAACTATTATCAGTAGAGCTTCTGTTCTTTCCTTGGGAATCAAACTTGTCTTTTGGTTCAGCTCCAGCCTTCTGCTTTCTCATCATACTGTCCGCAAATCTGAGCCATAAAGATTCCCTGTCTTTCCTTGGCATCTTAGAGTATCTTGGATCAGGCTTTAAAACGCGTTTAGCTTCTGACCACGAGTTGAGAACATTCTTCTCATTTTCTGCACTCCGCGCAACTGAATCTGATGTGATGATTTCAGCTAATAGGGCTCGATAATCACGGGCACAGCGCTGGGAAATAGACAAGCTAGTTGGATCACATACTCTGGAGACTATAAATAGAATAGATATTCATGCAATAATCCCTAGGTATGACTTCAAATTTATTTAGAAGTAACTTGGAATGATAGTTCAAAATAGCTTCACACAAAAAGTAAACCAATATTAAACAATCCAATATACCTGAAAAAGTTTTGCATTTTATAAAAACAGCACATGCCTCAACTAGTTTTAACAATATTTCTACATGCTCTCAAAAAAAGCCAAAATTTAAAATGTGTCGGTTATGGTGCTCCGACAAACTAATTGAAAAACAATATTTCTACATGCTACTCAAAAAAAGCCAAAATTTAAAATATGTGTCGGTTATGGTGCTCCGACAAACTAATTGAATTTAAAGTATGTCACACCGATTAAAAATTAAAATATCAATATAATGAAATCCGGATGTACCTAACAATGCATTGATGATGTCATATATCTGATTTTTATATTTTTGCACTTGCTGGAGTTCCTTATTGTCAATAAAAGTTTTTTTCATAACTTAAAAATAACTTACTTAATTACTCTAAGTGACCGTCTATTTTTAATTAAAAATACTGCATGTTTTGACATTAATTGTTTTTACGTCGTTTTTTTAAATGGATTTATTTAAAAATTACGCTTTCAGCATACACGAACTACGAAAAAAAAAGAGTCAAAACCGATGTGCATTGCTCTCAATTTGGGGCAGTTAATGTAATGGTCGAAGAAAATTAGCCTCTTTCAAATATTGTTACGTCACCTGTTCAACTCCAAGAAGAGTATAAAACTATTAGGTACCAGGATGAAATATGACATGCGGGTTGTAATAGAGAACAAATTTCATGGCTCTAATTCATGCAGCACACAGTGAGGCTTTATTTGCAGACCAATGCCACTTAGCTACCAAATAAACTTGAGAAGAAATAGCAAATTCAGAAAAGGATAAATATGCAGAAGATCAAAATGGATCAGACTAAAAAGCTCACTAATTTACCTCGTACAAATCCTTCACGTGATCACGGAAAAGCTTTTCTGCATCAGCTTGATTAAGATCAGGATTTGTAGCCCGACCCTGAGGATCCTTCTCCAGCTTGGGCTTCGACTCAGTCCAGGACGCCTAAGCAATAAATCATAGTCTAAGTGTCACTACAGTAATATATAGAAAGTTAAAAAGATTATTTTATTATGGAAGGAAATATATATGTATATGAAAAAAAAATTCTCTAATGCACGAAGCACGAAATACACTAGTAGATGAGTAAATCCAAAAAAAATGGCACGTTTTCATTTTGCAAATGCATGCGTACTATGGCATCGCAAGCTGCTATATGTTGGATCAAAATTTACTATAAATATAAAATACATATATAAATATTTTTTTTGTGATACTTGAAATTACACCTAATATACACAGAAGTATGGCAGCACTGATAATATCATTCATGTCTAAATGCTCCAAACACCAGAAGAGGGCAAACAATGAAAAGTAAGTGCGTGCAAAATCTTAGATTGCAAACCAAATTGGCACCAATGGAAATAAAATAGAACTATCAAATCAAGAATTACCTTCAGATCTTTTATTGTTTCTACCAACAAGGCTTGATAGGAACTGACAGCCTCCTTCCTCCGAACTTTCAGCCTAATCCTTTCCATTTCTTGCTCTTCTCTCTCTTTTCTCTTCCGCATTTCCCTCTCTCTTTCTTTTAGTTTGTCCTAGATGACAGGGGAAGAGCACAGGTACAAAACAATATACTAGAAGCGTCAAAACGTGCTCAAACAAAGTAAACAAAAAAATCCAAGTAAATATGTTTTTTGAAAGCTAGTCCAAATCTCTTTAAAACTTCACAAAATTATTACCTGCTCCTCCTTTTTGGCCTTAGCAGCACGTTCTGCTTCTTGTTCCACTGCTCTAAGTTCCGCCATATATTCATTAAATAAAGCTTCCCTCTCTTCATGATTGACAGTCTTGTATCTTGGATCATTTCTCAAATTATCCTTCACCTATAAAATGTCAAATGTAAGAAGTTAGCGCAAATTAGAAAGAAAAAACTAAAGCTGAGCAACTACTAACAAGCAATGCTTGTAAAAACAGTTTATAGAGAGAGTCCTTAAACTCGAATAGACATTTGCATACAGGAAGCCCATATTCTTTAGGAAAAAGTACTCGCAAAAATGCCATTCATAATTAACTGAAAAAAAAAAAACAACGATAAATGGAAAAGAATATGGATTGACTGAGAAGCAAATCATCAGAATTGTGTCTTACAATTTATTTCTATAAACAGCAAATTCAGCATTACACATGCAAGGAGTGAGAGTGATTGTGCAGCCAATCATGCATCAAGGGAAGTCAAGCACAAATATGAAACAGAAACCGGAAAGATGGCTTTCTGGTAAAAGATAATTTATATCCAATGAAATCACAGCCTCCGAAGGCATTCATGTGAATGTCCCAGATCAGCAAAACCATGTTTTTACAAAATTAACGTCAAAGTCCAAGATTGAAGACCATAATAGTCATGATAAATAGGCATAAAAGATTTCAACATGCTTTAATGATATCCTAGAACTGATCAAAATCAGGCATTTTAGACGGGTTTCTGAGACTTCTAGCAATCCAAAAAAATGTGAATTTTCATTCTCCGATGAATGGAATTTCAGCATGTCTCATTTCAACGCACTCACGACTGGACGGGTTTCTGAGACTTCTGGCAATCCAAAAAAAAGTGAATTTTCATTTTCTCGGATGAATGGAATTTCAGCATGTCTCATTTCAACGCACTCACGACAGAAGCCAAATTAGGCATTTTGGACGGTTTCTGAGACTTCTGGCAATCCAAAAAAAAGTGAATTTTCATTTTCTCGGATGAATGGAATTTCAGCATGTCTCATTTCAACGCACTCACGACAGAAGCCAAATTAGGCATTTTGGACGGTTTCTGAGACTTCTGGCAATCCAAAAAAAAGTGAATTTTCATTTTCTCGGATGAATGGAATTTCAGCATGTCTCATTTCAACGCACTCACGACAGAAGCCAAATTAGGCATTTTGGACGGTTTCTGAGACTTCTGGCAATCCAAAAAAAAGTGAATTTTCATTTTCTCGGATGAATGGAATTTCAGCATGTCTCATTTCAACGCACTCACGACAGAAGCCAAATTAGGCATTTTGGACGGTTTCTGAGACTTCTGGCAATCCAAAAAAAAGTGAATTTTCATTTTCTCGGATGAATGGAATTTCAGCATGTCTCATTTCAACGCACTCACGACAGAAGCCAAATTAGGCATTTTGGACGGTTTCTGAGACTTCTGGCAATCCAAAAAAAAGTGAATTTTCATTTTCTCGGATGAATGGAATTTCAGCATGTCTCATTTCAACGCACTCACGACAGAAGCCAAATTAGGCATTTTGGACGGTTTCTGAGACTTCTGGCAATCCAAAAAAAAGTGAATTTTCATTTTCTCGGATGAATGGAATTTCAGCATGTCTCATTTCAACGCACTCACGACAGAAGCCAAATTAGGCATTTTGGACGGTTTCTGAGACTTCTGGCAATCCAAAAAAAAGTGAATTTTCATTTTCTCGGATGAATGGAATTTCAGCATGTCTCATTTCAACGCACTCACGACAGAAGCCAAATTAGGCATTTTGGACGGTTTCTGAGACTTCTGGCAATCCAAAAAAAAGTGAATTTTCATTTTCTCGGATGAATGGAATTTCAGCATGTCTCATTTCAACGCACTCACGACAGAAGCCAAATTAGGCATTTTGGACGGTTTCTGAGACTTCTGGCAATCCAAAAAAAAGTGAATTTTCATTTTCTCGGATGAATGGAATTTCAGCATGTCTCATTTCAACGCACTCACGACAGAAGCCAAATTAGGCATTTTGGACGGTTTCTGAGACTTCTGGCAATCCAAAAAAAAGTGAATTTTCATTTTCTCGGATGAATGGAATTTCAGCATGTCTCATTTCAACGCACTCACGACAGAAGCCAAATTAGGCATTTTGGACGGTTTCTGAGACTTCTGGCAATCCAAAAAAAAGTGAATTTTCATTTTCTCGGATGAATGGAATTTCAGCATGTCTCATTTCAACGCACTCACGACAGAAGCCAAATTAGGCATTTTGGACGGTTTCTGAGACTTCTGGCAATCCAAAAAAAATAATAATCGAATGAATCGTGCAAATGATATTAATCAAATATGAAAGTATTTGTAGCAGTCGAACTCACAAATAAGCAAGAGTATAGATAACATTAATGTCATTTTATAGGTTGGTTAAACACAACTGGTAATAACCGGACGAATCATGCAAATGATATTTATTTAAATATGATAGTATTTGAAGTAGCGGAATTCACAAATAAAAACGAGTAGATATCAAGTTAGTGTCATTTTACAGGATGGTTAGAGACAATCGGTTAGGTTTGTAGGTAGAGATAACTATCGAACATAATACAAGATTCACATAGAGACATTCCAAAGATTACATTTTCCAATAACGACAAATCAATAAAAGGAAAAAAAGCATTGAAATATTTAGATTACCCAATGCAATTGGCAAAACTTCCTTATGAAAATATTCCTTCCTCTAAATTGCCTCCTTTTCCCAAGGGTTGCTCCAATGCTAATATTGAAGGAGCCATGGATGGAGGAACATTAAGAATAATGCTTGCTATAATGGTCTCCAATATGGTAGAAACCCTTGGAAAATTGAGACTTGATTGTGGTAAGGAGTGGTGGAAAAATATTGGCTGATCAAGCTTTACAAAATCACAAACCCAAGAGCACTTGACCTCCCAAGATGTCGGAGTTGAAGTGCGAAAGTCCCCATGTAGCTCCCCACCAATTGACAGTCTAAAGAGAGCCTTGCTCAACCACTCCCAAACTCTTTTCTTCTTTTGCTTCGATAATTTGTAAACAAAAGTTAACTCTTCAAAAAATAACAAGATACCATGACCTTTCTAACCAAGTAAATTTCTACAAGAATAAACCATGGATCCCCTTAGATGATACTAGGGCTTGAGATCAACTTCTCTTTAGAAATCAAGTCCAAAATGCCTCGGTTGGCTACTCTCAAAGTTTACTAGTCTTAAATTTTATAATGTTCTTCCTCGTAAAATGTAATATAATGATGAATCATAGATGTGTGAACAACTCATAGTTGTGTGATACTGATGTGAATAACTCCAAATTTAGTTTTAAACCTAATACACAAGTTACATTCAAATATGCAATCTAAAGATACAATAGAAACAGAACATAGAGCCATAATCCATGCATTGTCTGGAAACTACAGCACACGGTATAAATAAATACATACATAACTACTTCAGAACAAAAAATAATTCCAGGTCATTGGCCTTGTGATGGGCCTATCATGGATTACATCACAATAGTTAAAAGGCAACCAAGAGAAAACAACATTAAAAACAATCAAACACTATGATAAAAAGCTACCTTTGACCATCGACTAATTGAAGATATGTCTTGCCTCTCCTTCAGCATTGACTTGAAGCAGCTCATAGATGCTGCTCTTTCAGCATGAATCTTTTCTTCAGCGGCCTTCTTCCTTAGCAGCACCCTACAAAACACTCCAAAAGTATATAAAATGCCATGCAATTATTCATGCATCAGACATCATCAAATCTTATTAGTAAGCCATTCTAAACAAAACATACTTTTCATTGAAAAGAAACTCTCTTTCTTTTCGTTCTATGGCCTCAAACCGTGGATCATCTCCCCATTTTCTTTTAAATGTTTGATAGTCTGGTCTGTGAGTCATATCCTGAAATAGTAAGCCCATGAGCATTGATTGAATGGTCTATTCAACCAAAATAATTGCAAAACTGGTGAAACAAGCAAGCTACCAACAACCTCCAAGGCTTCTTCCAATAGTTGTTTGAAACCAATAATTGCAGCCTTCTGAGCTGCTTTCTTCTCCTTCCTTTCTTCCTCAGCACGTGTCCTAACATATTGTTCAAAGATTGCTCGTCTAGCAGAATAACTTGGAACTGCCTGCCAGTACCCATACAAGTAGCACAAAAAGAGAAGAAACAGTTCAAGCAGAGGATTCAATAATTGTATCCAAGTACAGTGTATAAAATATTCATTTATTTTATATTCAAAATATATATTATTAAGATGAAATATTATATTTAACTTAAATACATAGCGCATCCAAGTTAAAGAGCAAAAACATAAAATTCATGATTAGTAAACCACATAAGAACCGTCAAAAAATAAATGCAAATGATGTTTTCCTTACTATCAACACCAATAAGTTATTCTGAACAAATCATAATCCAATTCAAGATTAGTAAACCACATAAGACCCACAAAAAGTTAATTGCAAATGATCTTTATCCCACTATCAACACCAATAAGTTATTATGAATATGTCATAATCCAAAAAAAAGTTGTTAAATACACTTTGCGCACATAAAAATGTTTACAATAACACATTACATCGTTTAAAAAGCACCCAACAGCATTCAATGATATGTACGTGATTTTGAGGTCAAAAAAAATCATATCAACAAAAAGTAACAGAACAATTCAATCTTGCATAATATCTCATCAATTTAGTCCTCACTGATTGCAAATTTCAATGCCACGAGCATTCAACCTCTATCCCTGGCCACATGTAAATACTCGATAAAGGATTTGGTAATTGGATAAACTATTGTGCCAAACCTTAATATTTTTTGCACTTTCGATTGTTATGTTGATGATGCTAGTCACCCTTTTTTTATTGAAAACCAATATATCCTACAGTATTGTCATCAAAGAAATAGACAATTTTGCCTCATCCACTGAACTTAGCACAATGTGAAAATAATTATTTTTTTTCTCACATTTCTACCATTTTCTCGGGGAATAATTCATATTGTAGCTACCAACATTTTTATTTAGGAAGACCAAGTATCTAGCAATATGTTCATAGAAATTATCAAAGACCAGGTCTTGTAAAAGGAATGGCTATCACTGATTTTTCTTTCTATCTTTTAGGAGAAGAAGATCCCTCTTTCAGTGGCTTTAAAGTTTTCTAATTTCTTCTTTAGACCTTGTACCCTATGATCCTCAACATCATAATGGCGAAATAGAGGTCATCGATAAGAAACAAGTAGATTTTACTTGCGGCAAATCTCCTTAGTTATAGTGCATCAGTGTTAGTACATCAATAATATTTATTTCCAAACTTACCAACAAACATCAAGACTTCAATATGTGGTCATTCACGGATTGTCATTGAGAGTGCCTCAAATCATGCTACTTCTCCCGCTAACCTTCTATATACCCATCCAATTGATTTTCACACTTTAAACATCTATTTCGATGGCCATTATATCATGCCAAGCCACGATGAATTAACTTTAGTGGGGCAAATGCAGTCATATCATTAGTGCTAAACCCATATAAGGTGGAATCATCTCAGCATTATCACTGATTCTACTATAAATGGTCGCATATTCTAGTCATGAGTGGTAGTCATCAACTCCTGCTCATCCTCACCATTCAAACTTGAAATAAGCATGGAAATGGGAGAAATATGACCTCGCCTACAAGTCGCTATGGCAGAAATTTACATCATCATCAACTCCAATCGGTAGTCAACAACATCATTAGTCTAACCCAAGATATGGGGCAAGAATTATTGTTAGAAATTGATTGACTATTTTCAACTTCTTTAGTTTAGTTTTCTTTTTTTTTTTTTTTCCGTGTGTTCTCCTTCACATTTTTGTGAAACTAGCAATCAATTGCAAATTTCCATTCCCAGAGTATTGTGGCAACGTAGGAACAATAGTGCAATCAATGACACAAGCAAGGTGGCACCAAGACAATATGTGACTCCATGAAAAATGGTGACCATCCCTTGATTACTTCCCTTGGTTTGTGCTTTACACTAAGGATAAGCGTCTTAAGAAAAATTGACCTATAGATCCACCTTTTAGTTTAGTTTTTTTCATGCATTTTCAGTCAGTTTTTTGTAAAAGTGGCAATCATTTGCAATTTTCTCCTCCTAAAGTATTATAGCAGCATTGGAGTTTGCAATGCCAGTGAAAAAATGAAGCAGCAAAATAGCACTAAGAAAGTTTGCAAACAAAAACAAACCACTTGCAGTGAGGCAATTTACAAAAAATAACAACACAGAAAACCAGAAAGGCCGCGGACATTAAAAAGATAATTAGCAAACAATAACGAGACCCTAACAGTAAGGCAACAAGGAACAAAACTTAATAGAAGAGCAAGAGAATACGTAGAAGTGGCAGCTACATTACCAAGCACTGTAGCTGAAAATTTGCATCAATATGTAAGGTAGAAGCTTACATTGTGGATGTATGGCCAAGAGAAAATAAGCGTGTTAGAATAATCCAGATTTCTACTTAATTCATCATAAGAAATTAAGCTTATTACAAAAAAAAAGGTTTAGTTTGGTTCTAATTATGAATTGATGGGTTCAATTTTGCAACTAAAATATGGTTTGGTTTAATTGGGTTACTAAAGCATAAAACCAATTAAATCAAATCAACCGAAGAAACAATCCAACTTAAGATTACTAAATTAGGTTTGAATTATACATGATAATCCATCTTGTAACTAAAATAATTCAATTATTTTGAATGTAAGAGTTTTTAGGAGTGATAGGCACGATAACTTACTAGATTAAAAAGACTACTTTTATTCATAGAGACTTTTTCTCCATTAGCATCAAGTTCTATGATATTTTGTTTATCGAATGCTCAGTTATACTTCCTTAATGATAAAATAATTAGTGATCACATGTGTTGTGCTCAAGGCTACAAATTTTGGTAAAAATAGATACGTTAGCATGACAAAATTTAATTTGAAATATTGATCTCACTCTAAATTATTGAATTACAATATAATATGATAAATTTCATGAGGCCCATAGTCAATGTATTTCTCCTGATATTTTATTTTGGGATCATTTCTCAGCATGCTTAGAATTTTATTGACTAATGATTAAGAACTTAGATCAATTTGGTGAACAAATGAATAAATATAGTATAATCAAGCTTATGACTTACGCAACTTGCTTTAGCCCCAAGTGCCATTTCTACCTAACTTGTAATTATAATGGTGTAAATGTCTATAATCAAGCTAATTAAAGACATGCTAAATGATCATTTGCTTTATGTATTTAAATTAAGTATTTCAATTATATGCAGCTTTTGATCTTACCTCGTATAATTGCCCAAACCTTGTAATTAACACGAGTTGCCTGATATGCTTAAAATTTAAGGTCTAATTAAGCTTCATAATTCTTTGCATGAGTTGACAAATATATTTTTTAATGAATAACTTCAAGCACAACCTACGATCAAATAGGACTAATCTAACTGATGCTCATCATGACGATTATAAATTCATATTTTTGTGTTCACAGTTGATACAATATATACAGATCATGTATCTTAAATTCCATAATTAATATAATCAACATTACAAATATTGTTATAGTAGCATTGTATGCTCTTATTCCAACATATTATGATTAAGTTCTTTATTTACATGATTTTAATTGTTTGGTAAGGGGAATATCATTTATGGTATCACCAACTATGGAATTCATTGTTAACTCTTTCGTTGATGTCAATCATCAATATTGACAACAATTGCAAAGGATTTTCTTTTTTATTAATTTGATGATCTCATTAATCAATATTGACAACAATCATCATCATAAGTGTTCCTTATTTAACTGCAGAAATCAAAAAAAAAATGGCACCTTTTTATTAATTAGAGCTCTCATGAATTGTATTCCAAATACACATATATTATGCACACACAATGAATATTTAATTAAACAAACTTAAATCATCTTAAATAATAATTCCCAGTAATTATAATAACACATTCAAGAAAAGTAATTTCCAGCTTAAAATAAAACAAAATAATGACTGATAAAGAAAGTAATGAAAAAAATTAAAATCAAGAATACTCAAGATAACGAGTGATTGGCAGAAAAGTGAGAGACCCAAGTGGCGTGAAGCAAAAGAAAGAAAATAAGTAATTAAGAATAATGCTACGGATAAAACAAAAAGCATTTTTGAAAGAAGCTTGTAAAGAAGAGCCACTACGCTAAAAGAGATAACCAATGATAAATGCCCAAAAAAAAACATACATGAGAGAGTGTGCAAAGAAAAACTAAGCAGTAACTATCTCCAACAGGGAGAAAATGAATAAGTAATGAGTAGTGAGTCAACAATTACAAGAATCAATGAGAATAAATCATGTGTCTTAGTTTAGCATAATATATTAAATCAAATCATAAAATCAAAGCCAAAATTTTGTTCTCAGTAGAAGACTAGCAAGCAAGCATTATTATGATGTGACAACAAAGTGACGGGAAACAAGCACTTGCTAGAACTCGTGTTTCAAGGCGAAATACTGCATAAGACAAATGTGCCGCTTTACAAAACTCCTAAAGTGTCCTCTAATAACAATGATTGTTGAAGTATAAATAATTGATGTCAGCAAATGTAAACTCTTATAGATGGTGGAAGTACAAACTTCATATATGCATCTAATGATGGAGCTTTCATTAGTTTGTTCACTATATTTTATCCCTCTTACACCAACATTAATCTATCACCAATAAATAGGACAGGAGTGCAGTCCCATTAACATAAGTGTTATTTCATGTCTTATGAGTAATTACCAAGTATTTTACAAATTTATGAAGTGAGTAGCAACCATGAAGATGCTGAAAAAGTGCTCTAAGCAACCTTAATGTTTTGCAATATGAAAGTTTTAGATGGCGTTGTTTATCAAAACTCAAGAAAGAAACAAAGATTCGGCCAATTATTAGTTAGTTCAAGTGATCAAATTACATATAATCATACTGATTGGGTATAAGCAAACTTGAAGTCTCAAGAATATTGACACATCAAGTAAATTAAGATAATTATGTATCGTTAAACTATTTTAGATGTTTATAATATCTATATAAACATTGTTGTATTTGATCATGCTTTTGATAGTTGAAATTGTTTCAAAATATGTGGTTTGTTGTTAGGCTTAGATCACCATTAATGAACTTAAAGTTGACCAATAGTTGACTTTTAGATGTTTCATATATTTACCTTCTTAAACATGTTTATCAATGTTAATTTAACTTGTGTTCCAAGTAGCATAAGTTTGGAACTAGTACTCATTAGTTTCTTGGCCAGGTTTTAAATTGCATGTATTATATTATTCATAGTTTTTTAATTAAGTATAAAAAACAATTTTTTGGGAGAAAAAAAAAATCTTTTGAAAAATGCTTAATTTGTCATATTATTCTCATGTTTCAAGAATAATGATTTTTAAAAGTGAAATTAAATTTTCATGATAGCTTGAATAACTGGAAAAAAAATCAATTTGCTGAAATTTTTATTTTCAACAAACTACAAGAATTTTTTTGACAGGACAAGTGTTAACTATTTTAAAATTCATAATTTTTTAATATAATTTACTATTTGTGGTGCAAATTGAAAATTACCTTATTAGAAGCCGCATGTTACAAGATCATGCAACAACCTAAAGGGAAAATGTATAGAACCAAATAAATCCCAATGATAATGGACTTTAACAACAAATGAGCGACCTATAACATCTCTTTTAACGGTGAGTCTAACCTTTCGGAAGATTCTGCACAAAGAACTGAAGCACTTTTTGTCCCTTGGGCATATAAATAAGGAGCAAATTAAGAAATGAAATGCAAATGAATTTAGCTATATTCTTAGATCATTTTTAATAAGGATTCATGAATTAAAATCTGCCCAGAATTTCATTACAATAATCTCTCTTTCTCTGTCAATCTCATTTAGGTTGATGGCTTGATATTTTATTTTAATTATTTACAATCAATTGAATAGATCATTTGTATCTTGTAATCGTGTCAGTTCTATACAGCACACAGGAATAAGAAGAATTGAGAGAGAGATTAAGCATTTACGATCATACATTAATTTTTTATTAACCAAGGAAAAAAGGACTTGATAGTGTTGCAAGATGAAAACATGGTGTGTTGCCCACTCAAATGTTAAGGAGAGAGGTTGTCCACCACAGAGAGAATTAGTAGGATCCCAAGTGGAAGTGCACTTAAATATAAATGTAGGTCAGTTAGGTGTCAAAATATGTTTAAGACATTGCCTGATTGCTCATTAATTTAAATATAACAACTTGCTTAACTGGCAAGATTGGATGTTTATGTGATCATACTTGTGGAACTTATTCAACAATCATGTAACCATACTAAATTATCTTATTTTAAATTTGAAGTTTAATTCTTATGCAACGTCTTTATTTGCTGCGATGTATCATATGTAACTTGGCGTATAAGGCTTGTGACATCATAGCTGATCTATTACAATTGTGCTTTCTAGTCACACTGTTTCTCAAAATATCTTACAGATCTGCATATACCCAAATTAGGTTTAGATTGTATTTTTGCATGCTGTTTTATAAAGTATGTTGAATATATTATTTAGAATTGTATTGGAAGAGTTTTGTAAGAAAATCCAAGTTTTGATCCTTGGTTCGGCTCCATTCCTTCACTTTTGAACATGCATCCCCATAAGAAATTGTTTACAAAGATGCAACTGATTGAAGGATCAACTATTGCTCTTTCATCGCAACTCAACAGTAGAACCCTTTGTAGGGTAAGAAGTTCTGTTACTTGCAGAAAAAGTGGCCCAGTGCAAAAGCTGCTTCTGGCTATGCAATTTGATGAGGAACTACAAAGATAAATTCCCATAGGAGATTGTTTACAAAGATCCAACTTATTGAAAGAACTTTTATAGCTCTGTCAACGCAACTCAACAGTAGAACCCTTTGTAGGATAAGAAGTAGTGCTGCTTGCAGACAAAGTAGCCCAGTGCAGAAGCAGCTTCCGGCTATGCAACTCCCTGTGGAACTACACTGGCAATTCACACACATGGAGGGCCATTTGCACGGCAAAAAGATCTGCATTATACAGCAGAAATCCACTTAAGTAATCAACAGGAAGGATGAACCGCAAAATGTTCCATTCATATAGATGTACATAGGAAATTATTGCACCCAGAGAAGTCCCGGCAAATAAAACTGGTAGGCTATCCATTTCCGTTGTTTTCCATCAACTAATTCAATTGAATGGCTATACTTGTAAACTATGTGAAAGAGTTAAAGTTTCTACTGTTATTTAGGTTAAAATAGAAGTACGACATACATAACCGCATCAAATTGTAGTGCCAAAAATGCAACTGACCCTTGCAATTTGCAAACAGAATTTGTACAAAGAAAACTATTAAACAAAAACAATAATTTATGGGCGATGTCCAATATTGGGTTTCATACTGATCTTTCCCCCTGCATCAATTTAAAGAAGATCTGTGGCGCCAAAGATTGTGTTTGAAAATTGAAGTAATTGATGGATGCTTGTCATGTCGCTGACATTATTATCCAACGTCAATCCTTGGTCAATCTAGTTAACTCCTTCCCAACACACATAAAAGATCTATGAAATGAACAGGGCATTGATTCCTTGCGTGAAACCAGTTGCCTTATCTTAAGTTCGTCAAATGAATGGTTGACGTAAGGTAAAGTTCTAAATATTTCCACTTCTCCGATGAAAATTTTGCTAATATGGCAGATCAAAGAAAATCCAACTCTAAAATCCTATAAAATTGGTCATTCAATGATGAGCATGTTCCTGCACACAACACATATTCCTCGTTGGAATTTGTTTCCAGAATTCTAAACTACTCCCTTGAAAAACAACTCCAAAAGTTCAAGAAAAACCAATTCAAGGTCCCACGAAAATTGGTGTTAGCATATGGTAGAGTTTACTCCTGCAAGCCGTCTTCATAAGAATTTGTTCCCGTGCTTCTTAACTAGTAACTAGAAAAGTTGCATGCATAATAAGCTTGTTGCTGCAGGCCATCATTTTTTCTTGTTAAGAAACACAACCACCTACTTCGTAAACTGATTCAAAACCTTTACTCTTCTCCCCAAGAATTCTGAATTATTTAATACGATAAAAATACTATAAGAACGATCACGTTTATTCAGCGCCAGAGAAAACTTGATAAAATAAAGTAATCATCACGTTTAAGATGACTAGCAATAAGCACATTGAACTCTAACAAGAAGAATCTACCTCCACAACCAAAAAAAGCAGAAGGTTAAAAACATTCTCAAGAATGGAGGAAAAAAAAAATCAACCTTAGCATGATTGAGCTCAACATATGGTCTAACAAACCTGTTTCATGAAGTTGTCGTAGGAAAGGCCCAAAATTCATAATCTTTAGACTCAACAAACCTTAAAGCGTGGATCGAAGACTATCTTTGGTAGTTCTTTCTCCCATTTTGAGAATGGAGCCACCCCTCGTTCTTTGAGCATCTCCTAAGATGTTAGAAAAAAAAAATTTGAGCAAGTCATAAAGACACTGCAGATTATGAAAAAATAATTAATAAACGGAAAAATAAGAGCATTTCAGAAAATGTGATAACTATCAAACTAAGATGTTCCTGAAATAAACAAAGGCCGGCCCAGTTGAAATAAAAAATAATTTGGTAGCAATATGATTAAATAATTAATAAATGAAAAAACAAGAGCATTGTAAAAATCTAGAGCATTTAGCCAAGATATTTGATCCGCAGATGTAACTATAAAACTCAGATGTTTCTAAAATAAACAAAGGCTAAATCAGCTGAAATAAAGAACAATTTGGCAGAAATATGGGAAAAGGCTTCCAAGAAAAAGAATGTTAAGAAAACAGAAAGTAGGTTAAAATCCTTTTTCACTTTTACCATGAGCCGAGTGCTAGTCTGTTCACATGTCATACTTATCATTTCAAAGGAAGAACCAATTTAAAGGAGGCTTGTCAAAAAGAAAGACATGTTGGGATTAAATATGTAACATTTCTCTCCCCAGCATGCATTATACAGATTACTTCTTCGATGTCATGTAAAAAGATTTGAAAATATATAAAAACATATAAGGAATTGGACTAGATCACTGCTAAAACAAAAAAACAAGCAAATTAGGACATAAGCAAAACCGAATACCTTGAACTGATCAATGCACTCCTCCTTCGTTGGTCCACTTTCTTCATCATCTGAATCAGATGAGGAATCTGACATATTTCCATCTCCATTAGCATCTTTAACTCTGTCTTTACTATTCAACAGTTGCTGCGCCTTAGCTGAGGCATCTATAACTCTTGATCCATTTAAATCAGATGCAGAGGGAGCCGAAGTTTGAAGAGGTGCTGAAACATTAGGCGTAGCAGAATCCTGCAGCTTCTTCTTTATCAAATCCAATGCTGATGTAGATGCTTGTCCGCTTGGAGTTCTCTGGGTCATAGAATCTCGCCCCCCAGTTTGCAGAGCAGGAGCATTCAGACTGACAGATGTCGTTCCCTTATCTGTGGGAATGCTAGCAATTCCTTCTATTGAAGAGTTTACTACTTGTTTTTTTCTCATTTCCAAAACCTCTGCAGGAACTTGCCAGCTACTAACCTATATTTTGAGGTTATCAATGATAGGTATGCAGGAACGAGAAAATATATATATATATATGGAAAATGGAAAAGCAGCTAAAAATAATATCTCATGTTCATATAAGCAAGATAGAATGTAAAACGCTTAAAGACAGTTTGTCAGCTATACATTTGAGAACTACAATCACATCCATTGCTTAATTTTAAGCAGCTTTCCAAAAATGGCAACAAAGTTATTTTAGACCTGTCTCGGAAAAGTACAAGAAATGTATCAAAGCTTCTCGGACAAAAATTTATCCTACCATACTTTACAAAGAAAGTATAGCTTGTTACAACCTATTTATTTCAAAAAATATGGTTAATTAACCCTATACTAAGATTAACACTTAGCATAACATAGTAGAGATCACACTCGTAAGATATGGCACTCATGCTGTAAGAGATTTAAAACAATTATAGGTAGTCCTAAGCTTTTGCATGTGAACTTAATCTTTGGTATCAGTTAAATAATTAAGTTAAACATCTACTCAAGAATGGAAACGGGCTATAAAGAGAATAGAATACTATCTACCAGCAGATGGTCAAAGGGTACATTCAAGCGCATCAGAAAAATAATCTTATGGACCAAATCAAAGTTAAAAGAAAATTAAATAGGTTGATTAAAGGGTAAGTTGGTGTGCATTTCAAGTTCCAATTGAACAGAAGAAAATGTTACAACAACAACAACAAATTACGAGTGTGATCTCTACGTGGAGCAAGTTGGTGTGCATTTCAAAGCCTTAATCCCACTACGTGGGGTAATCCTTTTTCTCCATTGCGTCCTATTAAGTTCATATTTTCATTTAGTTCTAATAAATTAAGATCATTTTTTATACAATAAGCCCAATTCTTCCTAGTTCTACCTCAGCCTTCATGCATATTCTCTAACATTTTTTAAAAGCGCATTTTAGAAGACAAGCGATGTGACAGTTGTACATGTTACTTGCCTGCAAAGCAACTCATTAGCCCTATGCATCGCTTGCCTGCAAAACACAACCTTGCAACAAAGCTGGTGTCATGCTGCTTTGCCACATGGTGTCATAACATTGAGAACTCCACTATAGTTCAGAACAAAACCTAAGTTAATATTTCATGGTTCGATTCAGCATTTGCAACCATAAATAGGCCACACAAATCCACTTCTCATTAATAAACATAGTCATTAATTCATTGTTTGTAGGTTCTCCATTCTCTCATCAAAGCGTGACTTCTTGATGGCTCCCCTCAACACACACTCTCACTAGCACGTTTACTCATACATTTTCTCATTAATTCCTGTTGTTGATGCCAATAGTCTCATTCACAAGCTTCTTCTCAAAAGTGTTTCTCAAAGTGTTATTTGTATGCTTCACAATGTCCCGCCTTCACATTCTCCTACTAATATTGCCTTCGCCTCTCGATCTCTATCCAGTCTCCCAATCCCATGACTATTAAAGATTTTTAATTACTATTTCAGCACTTCATTATTCATATATTTAACCCTTCTTAATTTTACTTTAAATGGCTAAAAATTATCGTTAATGAATATATCACCATACTTGCAAAAAATTATTAATTAGAGACGAGTAAAGTTCGATTAATTGACACTTGTATATAAATAATGTTTATATATATTATGTAGTTTAAGTCTTTACTCAATGAGTGGTCTAGTTAGAAAAATCATTGTTTCACTTTGAGAGTTGCTGCAAAAAGAGCCCTTGCAAATCACTGATTCTTTTATTCTAGTTTATAAAATTTGTGTATATGCGCAACCACACAAAATTCATGAGACTTCCTGGAATTTAAAAATCAAGGCCACAAGAATGTTGGGCTAGAATCTTGTTGACAATCAAAATGCAATTGCCACAATAAGAAAAAGCCACCTATTAACTGAAGCAATGACCTCAATTACAAGTTAGAAAATAGTCATACCAAAAGAAACGCCCTTTAATAAACTTCACACGGTAAGTTTAACACTTGAAGCTATCTTCAGCATACATAGAAGAATAGTTTATTAAAATTTATCTGCTTTGTGAAATAATTAAGAATAAAATACACTAAACTAGGGCTAGCAAAATTAAACAACAAATTACATTAGTACAGCATCCAAAAGCATCATAATGGGTTAAACCAATCTCCAAGCTTAAGGTGAGTAGTGTAAACTATGAAATCTAAGTGAAAAATAATAAAAACATACCTTGTTCACGGTGTTATAATAGTACTTCTTCAAATCATTTGTCGTGACCAATGACCAGTTAGTGCCAGATAATTTTTCCCTGAATAAATGTTATGCAACAATAAAAAATATTTTAAGAAATAAATAATAAGATGAGAAAATAAAGAATTCTACAAATAAAATAATATACATAATTTTAGTAATTGCAGAAGCCAAGGTAATTGCAGTCCATAAGAAGTATATGATAATTGCCTATTACAGACATTGGATCCCAATCAAAGAAATGATAAACTCAAAAAACATTGAATGGAGCACTAGAGACTAATGAAAGGTTTAATTTCAGATTTTTTAAAGATATTAAGATTTTAGACATATTTATTTTATCAATAAATTTATCTTTAGTATATAAATTGTTTTAGGATTGAAGTTGACATAATAGGATAAGATTTAATTAGAATATCAATCTTATCACTTAACCTCATCTTGAAATATTTCTAATGGAGGTTAAAATGAATTAAATCAAGATATTTCCTTGAACTCCTTTCTCCCAGGGGAATCTGGCAATCTTCTCTCCATTCCCCATTATGGTTCCTCCTTCCTATTTACTCCCTTCTAACTCTGCATCCTGATTACACCATCCCATTGACTCAAATCAAATTATCCTCATCCCAAACCAACATGCACTCCATAAACATCCCAATTTACTCGACTACTTTTTCAAAAACTTAACGAAGCGAGGAGTGGTTAAAAAAAAAACCATTTAGCACCAAAACCAAAACCACATTAGAAATTCTAGTCCCTCCACTAAAAGGAAGCCTCACACTCCAATTGACAAGCACTATTGCTGCAGCGGCTTCAGTACACCTGTACTATAGCAAATGCACACATCCACCTAGTATTAAATTATGAAAACAAATCGTTTCAATGCTATCATTAGCATTGATACCTGATTCCAACAGCAACCTATTTCTTGTGAAAAACTTGAGCCCTTCAATTTGAAACCATTTTTTTGACCTAAAGTTGTTCAACACAACCACTCAAGCCTCATCCCACCAATCGATACAGCACTTTCGGCATTTATATAAATTTTCCCATGAATGGCATTAATTCACAAAGCCTTTTGACATAAAAAGAGGAATATTTAATTTAACTTCATTCGATTATTTTGATGATTTGTTTCATTAATTTTGATAGACTACTATTGATATGGCAGAACTGATTTGGTAGAACATTCTAACTAGGTAAGTATCACAATGATAGTAAGAAAATAAATATTGAGGGTTCAAAAAGAACTTCATACTTAATATGTCAATATATTTGCAAAAATCTACTTCTAAAATTAAATTGGGTGTCAATATTTCTCCAATATGTAGTTCGAGCCATTGCAGTCAATTCATTAAATGTGCATGAAAATTGCTAGAAATTCAAATATACTCTTAGGAAGAAGTGTTTTCTCAATCCTAGCCGCCTAAGAAATTTGGGTTAGGTTTAATTCAATATTTTGTATTTAATAGGATTTAAGATTTTATTTACTTGCTCAGTTAAATTTCATTTATCTTTAGATAATGTCATATTTGAATTTAAATAACTAGAATAAAATTTAGTTTAAATCTAAATTTAAATATTTAATTTTATCTTTTAAACTTATCTTTTATCATTTTCCCATAAATAGGGCAAACCCTTACAGTTGAGGACTATTGAAGGAACTGAATCCAGATATTTTAATAATCTCCACTCTAAGTGTAATCTGATTGTCTTAATTTACCTCATCCCTGTTCTAACCATTCTTTGCTAGCACGTTATTTCACCCTTTTCCCACGAAAAGGGCTAAGTACTGAATTTGAATTATTTCTTTTTTTATATAATACACAAAAACATAGTTAAGAAAATAGAGCTAAAAGTAGCTGGTATAAAAGATGATGAGTAGAAGCCTAGGCCACATCTTATGATTAATAAAGCATGAATAAGCTTAGCAGGATAGTCAACCATTTCAAGAAAGCTATGTAAAGGATTCCTACTAGTCAAGAAATTCATAGTCAACATTAGATCGTGGCTGGGCAAAAACATTCAAAGAATTTATACGAATGAATGCAAACCGACTTGTTCAGGTCAATTTTTAACTAGCAATCTCTCATATTGATCCTTGGAAAATCCATAATCTAAAACTTAATTTAATTTTGAAAAATTTACATATATAGCACCCAATTCCTATGCATTTACTTAACTCACACCCAAACTTCGATTTTTATGGTAAGCGCCCTAACCTAAGTATGAAAAGGTGGATTATACTATTTTTACCATTCATACATAGGAAAAGTTGCTTACCATGTAAAAATTAAAGTTTGGATGTGATATAAGTAAATGCAGAAGAATTGGGTGCTATGTATGTAAATTCCCCTTTAATTTAAGATTATAGCATTCTAGTTACCAAGAAAATATCAAACCTGATAATAAACCCTTAATACAAATGCCCTAAATCATTGATAACTAGTAGACTAAACCCATCTCAATAATGCCCTTCATTATCAAGTTGTTAAATAGTTTTCTTACAAAGAACAGTGCACCATATTTGCCTCTTATAGTTGTTGTCTTCCAAATGCAAATGCGCGGCGATTATATTATCACCATCTCCCACAAAATTAAGATTCTATCATCTTCACAATTCACAAATATATCATCACAATGCACAAAAATATCATTGACATTGTCACATCTTGCTTTCTAAAGTAGCCATTATATAAACATCATTTTCTTCAAATCTTATCATCCATAGCATCAGCATGCCATATCATACGACACCGTATTCAGTTGTAATGAAATTTTCCTTCAAGCCACTCCTATAGCATTGTTTTTGATCCCCATCACCATTGTGTTACGAAGATTAAATCCTAGTAAAGAGCATAAAACAACCAAAATCAATGGAATTCAAACTTTTGATTATAAGCAGAGTAATTCACTTTTATCTAATTATATTTTATTTGTAAGTTTCTAGCTTTCCTAAAATTTATTCAATATTAATTCACTGTCCAAGAAAACCTATGTTTTGGCCATTAATTTCAAGGGTTCTTACATTAATTAGGAAACATATGTGGTCATCTAAGTGCATGTGAATTTTTTCACTAATTTGCCTTTGAGCATCATTTTTTTTTAAATTTAGTATGGCTTATTTTGCTTAAAGAATTAATTTATGAATAACTTCATTGTTCACTTATATTATTTAGTTATTTAATATGCAATTCTTCTGTTACATTTAATGCAATGTTTGGACACTTCCAAAATATCTGGTCAATGACTTGCTTAGAATGCAAAATTTCATATCCATTAATTACTAATCCTTCAACAAGTAAGCATAACTTCCTGTCTCACAGTAGTTGGAACTAAATTGGTATCTAACTTGTATATCTTTTTATTGTTAATATTTGATTTAGCATGTCATAAATATTATGATTTTTTCACTTAGGCGAAGTTTCTGAACAATTATATAACTTCTAGTGTTTTCATTATATTAAATTTTAGAGAAAAGCTATCCTGCCTAACTTATAACTAAAAAATAAAAGTTGCTCTAAGAGATATTTTGAAAGAAAACGAACAAAAGAAAACTTAATGCCCACATCAAACTGAGCACTGCACCCATTCCTTATTCTGCCAAGCATATCAACTGATCAAAATTTCCTTTGGGCTATCATTTGTGTAGTGCAGCATTAATGATTAAAATCTATATCAATTGCTAGATATACTTCAATTAACTAAAGCACAAATTTTATCAATGCAATTGTGCTTAAAATTTATAAATCCCATTCAACTTTGCATGTTCCTAATACGCTTCATATGTGAACATAGCCAAATGTGGAGCAAGGTGCCTTTAAGATCTTCATCTTAGACTACGTTATGTTAACCAAACAACATAGCTAAAAAAATTAATTTATAAATAATCTAAAAAGAATTAAAGGTCATCGCAAACAAGAAGTTCCTACATACGCTGACTACACAACTTTGAAATCAGTACCAGAGTTCATATATTTACAATTATTGCTAAGAACAAAACAAAACCATTCATAATTCTTATACAAGAGCATCATAAAACTCAAAACTAACATGATTAAACTCCCACATAGCACACATCATGCCGACACCAACTAGCAAAGCCACTAGAATAGCATCAAGCGAGAAACCAAGCGCTAAAAATATATATATCAAATCAGCCCAATCAAATTACAATTGAACAAGAAATTCAAATATGAGACCATTAAAAGCATTGGCACTCCACAGTCATGCCTGATACTCATCGCTTAAATAAAGAACAAGGTATTAAAGGCAAAAATAGTATTGAATAACAATAAGTTCCCTTTACACTACATCTTCCTAAAATTTACTCTTGTTGTAAAACTTCCTCAATCCGCAAAGGAAAAAATAACTAAAATATTAACACAAAACAAAAGAAAATAAATCCATACAACAACAACAACAACAACAAAGCCTTAATCCCACTACTTGGGGTCGGCTACATGAATCCTTTTCCTCCATTGCGTCCTATTTAATGTCATATTTTCATTTAGTTCTAGTAAATTAAGATAATTTTTAATACAATAAGCCCAAGTCTTCCTAGGTCTACCTCTGTCGTTCTTAACACGTCGAATTTAAAACATCTACTCTCCTAATCGGATCATCTAATGGTCGACGTTTAATAAGACCAAACCATCTAAGGCGACTTTCTCTAATTTTGTCTGTCACAGGAGCTACACCAACCCTATCACGAATATATTCATTCCGCATTTTGTCTCTAAGTGTAAAGCCACTCATCCACCTAATCATTCTCATCTCGGCAACACTTAACTTATTATTATGCTTCTCTTTTAAAGGCCAACATTCAGCGCCATAGAGCATTGCAGGTCTCACCACCGTCTTATAAAATTTTCCTTTCAATCT